CACACACACACACACACACACACACACACACACACACACACACACACTGTGATTGGTTGAATCAGGTAGTTACTTGCAGGCAGCGAGGTGGGTGGAGTCAGAAGATGAGAGAGGACAAGTGGGGGTGGGTCAGGTTATAAAATGACACAGACACTGATAAGACCTCCTCTGGCATTAAAGCACTGCTGGAATGATTAACCTATATGGAGAGAGAGAGAGAGAGAGAGAGAGAGAGAGAGAGAGAGAAGAGAAGGGAAGAGAGACATATAGGGGCCGTAAGGAAAGGTAACGAGGGACACACAGGTCAAAAAGTTTGAACACAAAAAGACTCCACCGTTAGTTTGTAATTCACAGTCAAGGTACTGAATAAAAACTGTCAGCACAGAGACTTAAAGACTGATAAAGAGTGAGGGTCTCAGGTGGTGGTGGGGGGGGGGGGGGACCAGGTCTGTACAGTTTGTAGATTTAGGTGGTTAAAGTCACATCATAACTACAAGACAATGTCACACTGACACCACCACTCAAACTTTGGACTAATCCTCAGCCACACTTCCAATTCTGGATTTATCTGATTCACACACACACAGATGTGTGTGTGTGTGTGTGTTCTTGAGAGTCTACATGTATGACTAATTTATTCTGACCAAATAACAATAGCCTCACTATTGTAACGCATACACACATCATTAAATCATGATCAACAAACACTGCCAAATCATCCTATTCATAACCAGGAAATTACTCTGCCACACTCACATGCACGCACACACGCACGCACACAGGCACACACTCACTCACTCTTATTCCTGTATTGAAGATATTGTACACAGTCTCTAAAAATACTGCAGGACCATGCGCACAGAGCAATGACCCATAAAGCAACACAAAGAAGGTGGCAGTGTGGCCCAAACACCGCATCACTGATGTAAACAAAACACAGGAACATGATGAAAGCTGGAGGTCAGCAGAGATCCTCTGTAAATAAAGTACAGATGAAGGAGGTTACAAAAACTATATCCGCTCCTCTTACTGTAAATATAGTGAGCCAAGAGTGTAAAATAACAATAACAGCATCAACTGGGGGTTTTGCAACAAGCTGTGAACACACCACTGACTTACTGTCAGCTAATGAAGTTGTTAAAGGGAACATGTTGATGACTGCAGAGTCGGCAACAAGAGAAACAGATGAAGGGGAAACTACAGAGCTGGAGAAATCTCATTATCTCCAGGTGAAGTGATTTCGTCGCTCATCCTTCTCCTCTCTTTTAAGTTGTCAGATATCAGTATCATCTAAGGCCCGTAGGAAGCAGGACCAACATAACATGTAGCTTCACTAATACTAACACACCTGGATAACCTGATTCATGAAGCTGCTTATCAACTGGTTCAGTTAAACCTGAGTTTAGCTGTCTGGCTCTATATGCTCTTATGGATGAGGTGGATCCACATCATTAGAACTTAATATGATGTGAGAAGAGACACTGATGTGACACCCTTAACCCAAACCTAATCCCTTATGCTAGTGATATTTAACAATGTCAAATGTCACATAATTATATAACTAGAATGTACAAGAAACATTTGAGATCATTTCTGATTCATTAAAGTCAGACTAAGGATTCGAGTAATCACAGGAATTGAAAAATGTTTCGTACTGAGTGAGTAGTTATGCTCTTTTGTCTGATGATGAAAAAACTATTGCAGCAAAAAACTATTCATTCATTCTCATCAAGAAGAGAAGTAGTTCAGGTCTGATGAGGTTAATCTGACTGAAATGTTCAGTTATAATCATTGGAATCTTTTTTTGTTTTGTTAGTCTGCCTCAGTGTAAGCCGTATATCCCACTGACTTTCCATTGTGCCCCAGGTCAACTGCTGTTACCTGCAGCTCGTCAGGTCTTTGGATGTGGACAGTCACTGGATCACTGGAGGAAACTGAGGCTGTCGACTTCAAGTGTTGACATTTGGGCTTAAGAGATAAACCTCACAGGGGATCAAACAAAGACTGGCTCTTTTGACTGAAACAAGTGTGTCTGTGTGTGTGTGTGTGTGTGTGTGTGTGTGTGTGTGAATGTTTGTTTACGGAGGTTTCTGTGTTTTAAGTTTGCTGCTGACGACTCAAAGTGGAAGGACGCTGATATTGTCCAAGAGGTTTGGTTATCTCTGTGTCAAATGGCTGAGAGGATATAAAAGTGAAGCGAGCTGGAGAAAACATGCAGTCAGGTTTTAATGATTTATACCCTTTATATATTTAGAGGAATATATATCAAATATATTTAAAAAACAACACATGTATGCAGAATATTTTCTGGCTGCACTGGGATCTGTGTTCTAAATATAGAGAATTTCTGGCATGGACATTGCAGAAACAAATCGTTAAAGATCTCACTGTACATTTTGAGAAATCATTACCATAAATTCTAACAACACACACGAATTGACAGTAACACAAATCTGCGTATATACATAAATAATTTGTGGTCATGTCATTTCAGTCATGTGAGACATAGAGCATAGGAAATGTGTTTTTTGTGGTTTTCACTGCAAACTAAAGTTTCCCTATTTCTTGCATTGGCCGATTATAGAATGTGCAACAAACTCGTCTTCAGTAGAGAAAACAGTCTCTAGAGGAAGTGCAGGAAAGGAGATGTTTCATGGGAAAGTTGTTTAAAACTCATTAATGGCCTCCAATTACCTCTCATCGTTTTTTTTCTTCCAATCACACAACGGTATGATTAATTCATTGGACAATAATGTTGGTGTGTTGTTGTTTCAAACCTGCGTCCTGCTACTTTGGTAATGGAGTGATTTGGTGCAGGCAGGAGATAAGAGGTTAATAAAAATACTCTGGGCTACTGTGACACAGGGCAGGTCAAGGCTTGGTACGTCCAAGTGTCTGATGAAATGTTAATCAAATCGGAGTGAGGGATGGTGAAAGAAAGAGTGGGAGGCGGGATGGAGGGCATCAGATGGAGGGAGGGAGGGGGTGGGCGACGGCTCGGCAGGCAGCTACCCCGTTAATGTTTCTGACAGAAGGAGGGGAGAGGAGAGGAGGATGAAAGAAGAATAGCTACATAGAGTTAAATGTCCTGCTAGCATCTCGGACAAAGGGAGGGGAGGTTGGGGGGGTGTAGGATTAATGCAAGGTGGGAGGAAGAGGAGGGAGGAAGCTGCGAGAGGTTAAAAGACCAACGAGTTGTCCAAGAAGTGATCAGAGTAGAACATCACCATCATCATCATCTGTTTTCAAGAATCTGAGTAAAGGAGAGGATTATTTTCTTTTGTCATCTGTATGTTACATATTCCAGTACACAAAGAACTTCAACAA